GGGGGAGGGGTGCAGCAGTTATTGTAGGAGCTGGCACGTGAGTGCACGTTTATGAGCACATGAATGTGAGAGCACGTATCTTAGCGTATGTATGTCAGAGAAGCTCTGATGGTTTTCTTTGCAATGGGCATTCAAAATATGTAGACATGTTCTTGCTCCCTTCCTGAAAGGTCCTCCATTCCTGCCCCAGTTCCAGCTGCACATACACACACAAGATCCCACATATATACATACTCACGAAACTCTGACCAAGGAATCCAGCAAAACACGGGGCTGCTCTTTATAGGCCAGGGAGCTTGTTGTTTTAGTCTGTTGTTTTCATTTCTGTGCACCTGCACCCCTTGCCTAAGACCCCCACCACATGCTCCTGCCTCAACCAACAGCATGGGGATGTGTGTTTATGAATAAGTCACTCATTATACAATTTGGTTTCCTCAGGAATTTGGTAGAAAAATTGGATTCTGATGAATTGAGCTTAATTGAACCCTTCAGATCCTGGGCTTCTTTCACCTGCCTTGGGTTGGTTCTCTGGGACCCCCTAGACCCCATCAGTTCCCTTCTTCCTTCCTTCTCATAAGGAGCTGCATGTGTGATGCGACTGAGGTCTTTAGCATTTGCAGGAGCAGGGTGAAGAGCAAGGTATGTGGGTGGTAAGACAGCCTGGATTGCCTGATATTCTAGTGACTAAAGGGTGGGCAGAGAGTGGGCTCCAGGCTCCAGGTTATGAAGAGTTATTTCGTATATTTGACGTCCAGCCACAATGGAATCTTATTTACAAATGCTAAATAACCTAGACAGTATGGTACAAATTATCAGTAGCAGCAGGGGGAATGTCAACTGCTGCAACTTGGACTTTGAAGACATTATTATGTTTTTGAGCAATCCAGCATGAAGGATGTCTTAAGTCTAAATCCAATTTCTATTTGGTAGGTCTCTAAATCATGGCAGAGACAGCACTGCCAAAACAAAGCCATGACTTCTCCCTTGTCCTTTGGGACCTCATGGCAGAGACAGCACTGCCAAAACAAAGCAATGACTTCTTCATTGTCCTTTGGGACAAGCCAATCTGGACCCAAATACATCTTAGAGGAAAATCATCACAGAGTTGTGTTGCCATCAGATGAAGATGACCTTACTTCCTTAATTAGAGAAAAGAGTGAAGGTTAGGGAATTTATGGTGGCTTGCTGGAATGTGAAGAATGAAGGTAAAAAACAAAGAATTTGGGTTCCAAGCTCATCCTCAGCCACCTAGTGTAGACATCACCTATATAGTATCCCTGAGAGGTGGTGGTCCTGCTTCTGGTTGAACATGAAGAACTCACTGCTTCAGCTTCAGGTGGCACCATTCCACTCTTAAGCAACTGTGAACATTGAATATTTTTTCTGTTAAGATTAAACTGGTCTCCTTTCCAGATCCTGTCTTTAAGTCGTAGTATTACTTATCTATTGATGCATGACAGGTTATGCAGATTAGAGGCAAAGATTTATTATTTTATAATAAGATTATTATTATTCCCAAATTTACCAGCTTCAAGGTGAAAGAAGATTTATTATCTCATGGTTTTGGAGCTCCAAGAATTAAAACACAGCTACATGGGCAGTTATGGCTTAGGCTTAGAGTACCTCATGAAATTGGAGTCAGACTACAGACATCTGAGGTTGTCTGGGGATTAGAAGGTCTTCTTGCATTCATATGGCTATTGGCACAAGGCCTCAGCTCATTGCTGGCTGTTGGCAGGAGGCCTCAGGTCCTTTTCAAGTGAATTTCTCCATAGAGCTGATCGTGTATCTTCATGACATGGCAACTGGCTTCCCCTAGAGCAAGTGACCTAAGAAGGAGAGCAGGAAGGAAGTCACAATGCCTTTTATGACCATGTCTTGGAAGGCATACATCATTACTTCCGGCACATTCTAGTCAATTGAAGTGTATCACTAAGTCCAGCCTACATTCAAGGGGGAAGGGAGTTAAGCCTTCTTTCCAGGAAGGGAGTATTTATGAATTTTTGGACCTATTTTTAAACTACCATAGTCACTATTCTCTTAAATTATGCTATATCAAGTAAGCCTATTTAGCGATGTTCTCAGTAGTTCTCCAGATATTTGACTATAGCTATCAGCTCTCAACATCTCTGGCTTAATATCTTCAATCCCTTTGACTGTTTTATGCTTGATTGGTATATCTGTCTACTAACCTTGTATAGTGTAGCAATGAGGCTAAAACATAACATCCTGGATGGAACACTCTGAGTATGACTACAAAATAATTGTTAGAGCTCATTAACCCAGGCTCTTTGGTTCCTGCTAAAAAGCACAGTGCTTGGCATATGGTTGGTATTCAGTCAATATGCTATTGAAAGAATGAACAAACGAAAGACTAGATGAATGGACCTATTTCTTCTTAAAATACCTACCAATCTGCATTAGTGTACTTTTTTTTTAGCACCTTTTTATACTGTTGCTTAACTCAAACTAAAAGGCCTAAATCAACTCTTTTTTATTTTTTAATCCTTTTCCCATCTAAAATTCTCCCAATCCTGCGGCTGGATTTTTGACCTAAATGTGGAACTTGTCTCTAAGTTCACATGTGCTGGAGAAGACCATCCTAAATCATTAGTCTATCATCTAGTACAAGTTTTTTTTTTCAATTTGTGTTGTCCAAAAAATGTCTAGAAGTTAGCCATAGAAGTTATTGATTAAGTATTACTTTTTTTTTTTTTTTGAGAGATTTTCACTATAGGGCGCATGCGCTCGCCAGACAGACAGGGAGAGACATTAGAGACAGAAAGCGAGAAATCACCCCCCAGGGGGGATGGTCACGCCGCAATCCCCTCTCCTCCATTCTCCTCTTGGGATCTTGGGCACACACAAACACGCGCCCGGTGTGAGTTTTAAGCCACCGGGTCCTGGACATGAACCGCGTTCGACTACGTGGGAGTCCAGCGACATAGCCATTATGCTAACTGCTGGTTCCCAAGTATTCCTTCTTCAGGTCACCAAATTATTTCATCTATGCATTTTTTCTCTGCCACTAGGGTTCCTGATTTCCTGCTTCTCCCCCACATTGGTCTCTGCATGCAATCAGCACTCCAAAATTGAGAAACCATCCATAATTGACTTATTCTAACTACACTTAATCCAAGCCATCTTAAACAAATGTGGTTCTCTCTCAAGACGTTTAGAAAGTGAGATTCCATTGCCTTCCACAGTCCCCTATTTTCAGAGTCTAACATCTGGAAGTTAGGGAGAAAAGTGGGGAGGATGATGCATTGGCAGAATAATTGGGGTGGAAAGGATTTATTCTTGGCCTTTTTTAGCAGGAACCAAAGTCTTTTTTGGGGTGAGTGGGTGGAGAGGGAAGAGGGAATGGGGAGAGTGGGTCACAAGCAAAGTCTTTATTAATATCCGGCTGGGGTGGCCATTTTTTAAAATGATTTATTTAATTTTATTTATTCATTTATTTTAATTTGACCAGAGAGAGACACACACACACAGAGAGAGAGAGAGAGAGAGAGAGAGAGAGAGAGAGAGAGAGAGAATGAGAAAGCAAGCCACCGGGTCCAGTATTTGAACTGTGGTTGGCCATGTGGGAGTGTCCAGCACCTTAACCACCATGCCACCTGCTGGTCCCTGGGGTGGCCATTTTGAAAACCAATTAGAGAGCACAGAAAGGATGTGCTTCACAGAGTTGTCAGGGTCTGAGACTAATTAAGAGCATTCATAGTGAACTCAAAGATGTAGGGGAAGAATCTGAGTTTTCTTTGCTCATTCAGATGTGACTAAATTCTGAACATAGTTTATTTCCATCAAGTCTACTTTACTATTGCTTTATATTATAGAAATAATATGTCTTTTTTTTAACTCAAATAATTCATAATTGTGCAAGAATGTTAATAATCTTCATCTTTCCTTTAGGGTCTAGTTCAAACTCTGAAGTTAACAGCTTGTATTTCTTTCTGTATTTATTTCTAGGAGTATATCTACACAGAACATACATAGAACAAGATTTTAAATAATTGTTTTTAACTGGCGGGATCATAAAATACATATTGCCCCTCTCTTTTTTTCCCCTCCCAATCCTTTTTACATATCATTCCAGTGTTTTACTCATTCTTTATAAAAGTGCTAGGAATATAGCTTACATTGTCTAATTGTGTCTCAACTTGTGGATACTCAGGTTATTTTCAGTGAATTTTGTTACAACCAGCAACTCTTTAATAAGCATGTTGTAGAAATCTTTATCTTCTGGTGCCTTTATCTCTGTTCGATTTCTTAGAGTGGAATTTTGATTTTACTTGGTAGTATGTCTTACTTTTATACTGGTTAATCATACATTAAACCATGCACTATCTTCATTCCTTTCTTCCTTTATTCTCTAAGCTATTATTCTATTTCCTGCATGCAGTGGCTAATTTCCTAAAGTGACAATTTGGCTGAAATAAAATCCAAGGAAATGTATCTTTTCAATCATAGGGTGGGAGTGGGGAGCAGGTTAATTTATATGGATCCAGTTTTGAGGTTGGTTTATGTGTGTTGGTGAGTATGTGTGTATAGGTGTGTGTCCATATGCTTTAAATGCAAGGACCAATAATTAAATATTACACTCCATGTGAAATAAAATTAATACATTTCAGTACTGAGATGATGTATAGTAGAGAGAGCACTGAAATTAAAGTCATAAGACCTTGGTTTGAATTTCTTGGTTTCCTACCTATTGGCTATATACTATGAGAGTTGATATCATTATAGGAAAAATGGGCATAATTGTAGCACCTACATGTAGGTTCTGGGAATTAAAAGAGAGATCTCATTGTATAGACCATACAGACTTTCGCATGCATTTTGAGTTTACGTAAGGCAAGTAAAACACTCCAGAGGAAAGTCTTTTTCTTTCGCCACACACAAACAAACAAACAAACAAACAAACAAACAAAACATAAAGTCAGAATGAGGCCACCAAGACCTTTTGCTGGAGGAGTCTTCCAGAAGCTCAGAAGGGATAATTCCAACAGCATCTGGGGACTATAGATGGCTGAGTAGGTGGAGCGGAAGGGACAAGAGGCTTAAGATCACAAGTGTATTTCAAAACAGCCACGCACAAAAGGCTGCTCGAGCTTTTTCTGCATCTGAGGACCCATACGTCCCCTGGAAATCCTGACCAAGGCCAATTTCTTTCAGAGAACCAGCTAGTTTTGGTAATGGGTCTGAAGATGATTTGTGGTAGACTGGGGCTATTTGCTGCAGTCTTGTACTTAGTAGTGTTGGATACTTTCAGGTGTTTTCATCTTTCATTGAGGCAGTCAACTCATTGGTGTGCTGAAGACTGCCTTGGTTTTAAAACGGAAAGTCCAGTGTCCTCAATTCCAGGCACACTGGGCACTTGGCCATCTTAAGTCTTGACCTTGATTCTTAGATGGCTAAAACTGTTTAAAGGAATATATCATGGCTACGAAGGTTGTATTCCATTTCTCACCTCCCTGGGGATTATTTTTGATTCTTTAACTTTGCTTTTGTGGAATACTAATGTCCTGTAAGTGGAAAGAAGAGTTTTTCTTTTTTCTTTTCTTTTTTTTTTCCATTAAAATGCAGTATGGCTATTTTTCCCATTTAACAGAAAAGAAACAATTAGTATGGTGGATTTTTCTCCAAATTTTCAGCCCTCCATCCCTAATAATACTTACCACTTACCTTCCATCACTTGCCTAAAACCTTGTATTTCAGAATACATGATAAAATTTTGTGTCAGGCCAATCCATGGCCTGGTGATTAATGCAGCTAGATTCCACCAGGCCAGCTGCTCAGTTCAAATCCCAGACCCAGTGACTTGAAAAAACACCAGGCATGTGTGCATGCATGCCACAAGTCCAGAGAGGAGTGAGAGATGGAACAGAAGGGATTGCAGTATCATCATTCCCCATGGGGGAGTGCTCCCCCACTCCCAAACCCCTGGAAAGAGCATGTACCCTCTAATAAAATTTTAAAAAGAACTAAAATGAATAAAATAATACATCAAATGAAAATTTATATGTTGATATCAGTCTATACCACAGAAGGCCGTGACTTCCAATGAGTGTTTTGTTATAGAGTAGGAAGACCGTAGGGTCATTTTAAAAGGGATTACCTTGATGAAGTGTTAAACAGGGTTACAGAAAAGATTACAGAAAGGTTACATTATACATCCCATTTTTCCCAGGTAGTCCCTTTTAAGTCAGTGCCCCAGGGTCCTGTCCAGTTCATGCTCATTCTCACTGTCATACACATTTTGGTTTAGACTCAGTCATCCTAGAGGAGCTGGTAGACACTGCTACTTGGCAGGCTAAGGCCACATGGGAGCCCTGGCTTCGATTTCTGGCCAACCCTAAAAAGTCAAGCATAGTCCCAACTACTCAGGAGGCTTAAACAGGAGGATTGTGACATAGTAAGGCTTTGTCTAAGAAAAAAAAGGTGTCTGGTTTGGGTGACGAATTATATTGCCTCCCTACTTATGGCAGGCCTGGTAGAAGGAAATATTCTTTAGTTTTGGCTAAAATTTGCTAGTTACATGCTAGGCACTTTGACTACTTTCTACCCATTTAACCCTAATGAACATAAATGGCTGGTTTATGAAAAAGAAAAAGAGCCTCAGTTCCAGAAAGGCTAAGTAACTGGCCCATGTTCAAAAGCTAGTAAGTGGTAGTCAGGAGTAGAACCCAAGTCTGGCGAACTCCGATGTGTTCCTATCTTCATTCTTTTTTTTTTTTTTTTGGAGAGGTTTTTCACTATAGGGCTTGTGCGCTCGCCAGACAGACAAAGAGAGACAGAGAGACAGAAAGCAAGAAATCACCCACCAGGGGGGATGGTCACGCCACAATCCCTTCTCCTCCATTCTCCTCTCAGGATCTTGGGCATGTACGCACATGTGCCCGGCGTGAGTTTTAAGCCACCGGGTCCGGGACTTGAACTGCGGTCAACTACGTGGGAGTCCAGCGACATAGTCATTACGCTAACTGCTGGTTCCCCCTATCTTAATTCTTGTAGCAAGTGGTATGAGATGCTGGAAATTCCAGCTGCCTGAAATCTTCAAGGACTCCAAGGAAGCAGAAGTAACCTTAGTTGGCTGGGGGTGCTTTCACATGGGGGAGAGAAAACAAGGGTTTGTACTTATCTGAGTATTTCAGGTAATCCTTGTCCATCCTTCATTAGTAGAGCTGCCTGTTTACATGCCTGCTGAAATTGTTTTTCTTCTTCTTTTTTCCCAATTAAAGTATAACAAATCTGCTAAGACCTTGTCCCACATAGCCTTGCCAGTTGGGTGTTTGGGGGCAGATAAAATGAAGAAGTGTGAGTATAGCAGACTGCCCTGGGGTGAGAAGAGAAAAGAGCAGATCTGTATGCATCCTAGCAGCCGGCAGCTCCCTCTCTGCTGTGGCCTGTGCTGAGACTGTGGGCCAAAGGAGCCTTGGAAATGCTTAGACCTGCCTCTGTGCCTTTAGCTGTCCGGGTAAAAACATCACCTCTCTGGAGGCCTGTGCTGGAGCACAAACCCACATATTGTCTGGCCCCTGGCAGGCTGGTCTGTGGAGGGGACACTCTAAGAGCTCTATTTTAATCTTTTGGAGCTGGGCCAGGGTAGGAATTCAGCTGCCAGCACCAGGCTCCCCACCCCCATGCTCTCACTCCACCTCCCTGCCCCCTCCTCCTGGTTCCATTCGCCCTGACCTCCCATCATGAGAGGTGCTGGTGTTCTTTCTCTCTCCTTTTCTCTTTTTTAAACTACCAGGGCTCTTTCATTGATTTGACCTCCCAAAGTGAAGCAGACCAGGGCTCCTCAGTGGGCTACTTGGGGCTCAGAGCTGGCATGAGGCCAACCCTTGAATCTTGAGATTTACCTCCAGATGTGTGTGCCTCTGTATGTGTGTGTATGTGAGAGAGAGAGAGAGAGGAGAGAGAACATGTTGTGTGTGCGTGTGTGTGTATTTATGTGTGTTTTTTTGCTTCTCTATGATCTTTCTCTCCATGTGCAAAAAATAAAATGTATGGAGTGGAAAAATTGAGGGGAGGAGAATATGAAGAAAGAACAGGGTGGCCTAAGTCCGTAAACCTCTTCTTCTCCCTCTGCCAACCATACTTCCCCCACCTAGAGTCAGATAATTTCAGTTGTCCATTCAACTGCATCTTGTTTTGCTCTCCTGTTTCTTGGGTATATTTCTTTGGGTAGGAATGAGTTTTGTAAAGAGATCACATGGTGTAATGGGTATTGATTCCTATACTGAACTTGAATTTCCATCTTAGCTCTGTCACTTTCTGGCTGTGTGATATATAGGGCATGCAAATTCCATTCCTTGAGCCTCAGTTTCCCAGTCTGTAAAATGTGACCAACAATGCTACCAACTTTTACAGAAAGTAGACAGCAGAAGATTAAATGATGCTCAAAAGATGGCTATAACTGTCAGCTCCTTTCTTGCCTACCTTTCCCAGGAACAAGTCCTAAGGCAGCAGTAGGGCCTGGCTCCTGGCCACAGTGGAGAAGCCCCCAGCTGGTAAGGAGGGGCTGTTCTTCCTGAAAGGGTAGGAGGGGACAGAGGGTGTGGATCTTTCTCTCCCACCCGGAATCTCCCATCTTTGCTCACCCCCCATCCTCTGGCCTCTGCCAATGATGTGCATTTTCCCCTCTGCACCGGCCTCCCAAACTGACTCATTACCTCGACAGGGTAGCAACTTCCAAAACAAAACTTTTTCAACCAAGGAAAATATAACTATGGGGAGGAAAACATTTCACTATCAGGCCTCCTGGGACCCGAGGAAATGTACTGAATGTTTGTCAGAGAACGATGCCGTCCCAACTTCATCGACTCTGCAGAGAGCAGAGAAAGAACAATGCCTGGAACTTGGTTGCACGCAAGCCAGAATGACCCAACCAAGGCCCAAGATGGCGCTCGAATTGGCCAGATCTTGGAGGAGCCAAAATGCATCCAGCATTGGTGTTTTGAACCTGAGCTCACTGTGGGGTGACAAACATCAGAGAGGCCCTATGCTCCGTTCCATGCCAGTCTCTCATTTTCCCTTTCACTCCACAGGAGATGCCCATTATAGGCTAATTGTCTGGCAAAGGGCCTGCTTTCTTCATGCCTGCATTCTGGGGAAGGGCTAATGGAGCACATTTCAACTTCATAGTAGTGCTCCTGAGAGTTGTGCAATACTAGGACCATTTCTGAGACGTTCCAGGGAAGGGATCTTACAGCAATAATCAGGTGAAATCTAAGAAAATACCTGGTAGGTGGTGCTGGTGTCAAGTCAGATGCCAGGGAAGGCCCAAAAGATATTCCAGACCACATCCACTGTGATTCTGCCATGGCCTGGACAACCAAGGATAGGGGAACTGAACTAGTGAGTTACTTTTCGAGGGACTGTATCAGGTGAAGCAGAAGACTTACTTATTTAAATCTCTATAATGAAGCTTTTTATTTTTTGGAAGAGGAGGCATTTTGCAAAGGGAGGCTGAATATAGATTTCTCACAATTACTTTCTCTCTGTAGTAGATTCAATGCTGTCCCCTATTTAGGTTTTACACTCTATTCTCCCCAGCACGAGCACAAAATGTATCAACAATATAAAAATGGCCCAAGACTCCTTACTCATTCTGGAAAGGCATTCACTGAGTATTTTAAATTCATGGGATTTCAAAGCTGTTTTTTATAGAATATTGGTCTTCATCTGTAAGTTGGGAGAGGAAAGGTGTCTTTCTTGCAGTCACAGAGTGTGTGATCCTGAGCTAGAACCTGGGCTTCGCGGGAATGGGTCTGGTTTGTTGTCTTGTTTGCTTTCTTTTGTGGTCATGATTCTGTGTGTGCATATATGTCCTTTGCTTGTCTGATGGTGCAGGGTCTCTTTTCCAAAAAGAGTTTCTAGTAGTTGATTTTCTTCCTTCCTCCAAGGAGCTAATTCAACATTAAGTGGCAAACTAGAAAGGCAGGAGTCCTGGGCCTTAGTTCTTACTTTACTGAACCTCTCTCTCCTTATTTGTCAAATGGAAATATGAGGGAACTTCAAAAAGTTCACGGAGAAATAGACTACCACTTTCGGTGCTAAAATATTTGAAGCATAGCTTTCTTTTCTAATGCTTCTTTTTATATTTTTTCTTTATTATTAATTATTTTTAAAAATTTGCTTTAGGGCACATGTGTTCACCAGAGAAAGAGAGAGACAGAGAGAGACAGAGAGAGAAGGAAAGTAAGAAAGCAATCTGCCAGGTCCCAGGCTTGACTTACAGTCTGCTGTGTGGGAGTCCAGCGCCTCAATCGCCATACTACCTGCTGGCCACCTCCTGTTTTTTTTTTTTTTTTTTTTTTTTTTTTTTTTAATTTTTCCTTTTAAAAAAAATGTCAGTGGGTACATGTGCTCACCAGAGAGACTTGGTAGTGAGAAAGTTCCCCTGCCATGGGGGATGGTCACATGGTAATCTCTCTTCTATTTCTCCCCTTCTTTGGGGATTTTGGGCATTCATTCATTTGTGCCCAGGGTGTCTTCCTTTTCTTTTCTTTTTTTTTTGGAGAGGTTTTTGCTACAGGGCGCATGTGCTCGCCAGAAAAACAGAGACAGAAAGTGAGAAATCACCCCCCAGGGGGATGACCATACCGCAATCTCTTCTCCTCCATTCTCCTCTTGGGATCTTGGGCACACATGCACATGCGCCCAGCGTGAGTTTAAGCCGCCAAGTCTGGCACTCAAACGGTGGTTGACTATATGGGAGTCCAGCGACATAGCCATTACGCTAACTGCTGGTCCCAGCCCAGGGTGTTTTTCAAGGTGCTGAGTCTGAGGCTCTCTGCACAGTTAGCCATGTAAGATCTACCCACCTAGATCTGCCAAGGGCTGGCTTGCATAGTTTTTTTCTTCCTCCCCCTAGTCATATGCATTTTTTCATAAGCCTTTTGAAGTCACTTAGTAAAAGTTCTTACCCTGATCATCTCACAGGGCGATCTGTCAAGCTCAAGTGTTTGAGAAAGTGTTTTATAAACATACAGGATACTGCAGTTTTTGAAAAGCTTGATGAGAAAAACGATACGTACTTAAGTGGTCTTATTGGGCACCCGGACAAGATGTGCAGGTTTTCTGAGGACTCGGAAGGTGCAGGTAGGATGAGTGATCTGCATATTGACCCCTCTGGTGTCCAATCACTGTGCAAGACATCATGACACTTGGAGAACTGCTGGCCGGAAGTGCAGTCTGTACCCATGGAAAGTCAGGCTTTTCCCAGGTTCTGTCCTTCCTAGGGACATACCCAACTCACAGTACTCTGGAGATGGTATATGAGGTGAGTGTTAGAACTTTTTCAAAAGTCTTAAAGAAATACTTTCAAGGCATCCTGAGGGGACAAACTAAACTCCCTGTGGGCCATTTTCATGCTGGCTGGCATTTGAAAAGACTTTCAGGTCAATTCTTTATGGAGAAATTAAGCAATTGATGGGATTTAACTTGATTTTAAGTGACCATATGCAATTTCTGGTGGTCATCAGTTTATTACTCATTTAATAGACATTTGTGCTAGGAGCTACAGAATGTGCTGAAGAGATGAAGACCAAGAAAACGGGCAATGTTTTTGACTTCGAACATCTCATCTAGTTTACTTTATCCCTGCCTTTTTTCCTCTAGTCAATAACACCATCCCTTTTTGAAAGAATAATTTAATATTAATGTAATGATTGACCACTATAAGAAACTTGTAATGGTAGAAATGACATACGCTACCTGAAGAGGAAATACATTTTCATAGTAAAAAAAAAATCATAGCAAAGATCTTTCTTGACATTATGATATAATTGGGCAAATGAAAGTTCTATGGTTGCCTTTTTTTTCCTCCTGCTTAGTGATCACTTGAGATTGTTGACAAACTCTTGGTCTAAATTTGCCTAATTCCCTGATATGATTTTATTATTATTATTATTGCCATAGGGCATGTATGTCCGCTGGAGAGAAACAGAGACAGTGAGAGGGAAAGTGAGAAATCACCCCCTAGGGTGGATGGCTATGCTGTATTCCCTTTTCCCCCATTGTCCTCCTGGGATTTTGGGCACACATGAACATGCAGCTGGTATGATTTTCAAGCCACCAGGTCTGGGATTTGAACTGTGATTGACCATGTGTGGCAGTTCAACTTTGTAACCACTACACCAGTGCTGGCCTCAAAATATGCATGTTGGGAGAGGAGAGAGAGAGAGAGAGAGAAGAAAGAGAGAGAGAGAGAGAGAGAGAGAGAGAGAGAGGATTTCAATGCTGCAGTCCTCCAGCCTCCAGTAGCTTTTGCTATGCCCAAGTGAGAAAGTAAGCTTTTTAATTATGGAGAAGGAATTATTTCTTGTTGGTGAATGGAAACACTGCATTTTGCTGAGTATAACTTGTCATGCTTCTCACTTGGCAGATTAAACGTAAAAGACCTCTTCTTACTCTTTATCCCCATTCTGTCCCTCCCCTAACGCCTCCTTAAGAATGCTCATAGACAAAAGGGGATATTAAAGAACAATATCATCTGTTTGGTTTGAAAAAGAAGGTAAGCATTTATTTAAAGTCAGA